AAATCGATCATTATTTTACTGTGGCTCCTTCTCCGTCGTTCATCGACAAGCGCACGCCCACAACCCACTATTATTCGTCGAGGCACGCAGGTAGTTTTAGTTTATTAAGTCACGTTTGGCGGACTCTATATATAAACATCTCTCACACACACACACACACACACACACACGTTTATTAAATATATATATTATTATTTTGTCATACATAATTCGTCTATATCGTCATACGTTTTTCATTTGTAAATTGTACTATTTTGTGGGTTAACATATAAATTTTGGTGATAAATAAATATATGTGTCATATACATTTAAAAAATATATTATATATACAAAATACTTACATTATATTCACACACACACACACACGCACAGAGAGAGGGGGATTGGTAAATTCTTCAAACAACACTAATTATTGATAACTACTACTTATGTTATTTCGCGAACACGCGTGTGTGTGTGTTCTCGCATACGTATCGAAAAAATAATTTCTCGGTTGGATCTCTCTCTCTCTCTCTCTCTCTCTCTCTCTCTCTCTCTCTCTCTCTATCTCTCTCTACCCGTAGATGATGTACTCACTTTATTTTCTTTTTTCATCGGGCTTACGTTAACGAGGGAGGGGTTCCCATGATGCATGAGGGTTGAATATACACAAAAGTTCGGGAACGATGTTTTCGGTCAAAATGTTGAATTACGCGCAGAGGGATCGTCCGCTATTTTTGTTCTATCAACGAATGGGCGATGAAAATAAATAAATTTATAAAAAAATGTCGAATTTTCTATGCCGAAATAGAAAATATTTCGGTCGATTCGTAGAACTGGGCCTTACGCGATAATTCTATTTTTATATACATATATATATGAAAAGAAAAAAAAAATAGAAAAATTATTCGTATAAAAAGAAAATTGTTCGTACCCTTCGTACATACATGAGCATACATGAACGGAATATCACAGCCTCAGTAGTAATGATCTTAAACGAAATGAAAATAATTAAAATGGAAAAAAAAGAGAGAGAAAATGTAGGGATCACGTGTGCGCAAATTCAAAATCTTTCGCACTTAAAACAGAGAAATGGAAACAAAAAATGTTTTTATTTGACGAGAAATTCGGAAAACTCTCGGAAAATTCGTGACAACCCTTTCAAGAATTGATCTACTCTTCGAATAATATGTAAGATTTTCATTTTTCAATTTACATTTTACATAGATCAATCCGATTAACGCAAAACGTCGGAAAATTGTAAATAAAACTTTTTAATCGGGTAGGATTAAGTCGCACATATTCTTTTCATATTCAAGAAATTATTTGAATAATCGTACTATTTTTCTCTCTATCTCTCTCTTTCTATCTCTCTATCTATCTATCTTTCTCTATCTTTCTTTCTTTCTCTCTCTCTCTCTCTCTCTCTCTCTCTCTCTCTCTCTCTCTCTCTCTAATTCTATATACTCGAATGCGTAAGGTCCAGTTCGATCTAACCTTGACCCAGTTTGAGAACTTGACAAAAGTTCGATGCGACGAGCCTCANTCTCTCTCTCTCTCTCTCTCTCTCTCTCTCTCTCTCTCTCTCTCTCTCTCTCTCTTTTTCTCTTTCTCTAATTCTATATACTCGAATGCGTAAGGTCCAGTTCGATCTAACCTTGACCCAGTTTGAGAACTTGACAAAAGTTCGATGCGACGAGCCTCACGATTATAATTATGGAATTAAAAAGAAAAAGAAAAATTCAAAATCCAAAATTAGTATCGCGACTGTTCTATGGGGAAGATATAAGAAAATAAAATTAAAAAAACAAAAAAGAGAAAATAACGCATGTAAGAATAATTGGAAGACACAAAAGGGGAAAATTGCCACCACTGCTACTACTAATATTATTTATTATTAATTATTAATTAAATATTGAAAAAATATTATATTTCATTATATATATTACGAGATGATAATATATGAAATATATATGTTACCGTCAAAGCCAGAAATCAGGCATTACTATTAATTCCTCGGTATTACTATGAAAGTAAAGAGCCTTCAGACGAAGTCGGAAATAAGATTTTTTGAAGAGTTTTTCCTACGCATCGAACATAATACTTTGATATCCTATAGAATATCAAATTACTATTTAAACAACGTTGAAAAGATTACATTCTCCGGCACAGACACACACAGCCATACGCAACAACTCCTCCCCAAAACAACCCATACAGGTAAAAAATATTTTCAAAGAAATATCAGAGATTGCAATGCTATAAATTGTACAACTTTACTATTTCTTTGAAAAGTTTTGGTAAATAGTTTTTATACTAAAAGTGAATAGATTTTAATGAAACTTATATTAAATTAAAGAACACTCTTTTGTCTACGCGTAGAATACCATGCCGAGTAATAAATCGATCTGCAAATGTTCATAAAATGTCAGAGAATGCAATGCTGTAAATTGTGCATCTTTGCAATTTCCTTGAAAAGTTTCAGCAAATATTTTTTATACTTATAGCAAGCAGATCATAATGATTTTTATATTAAATTAAAGTGCATTCTTTTATCTACACGTAGAATACAAATTTGAGTTATAAATCAATTTGCAAAGGTTCCAAAAATGGCAAAGAGAAATTGGCGGATTAGGCAATGTGAATATTGCCTAAAACCAGGCAGCATTGCCGGAGGAGGTTTGGAACCTAGGCCGGTAATGTTAACAATGCCTGGTTTTAGGCATTATTCACATTGCCTAATCCGCCAATTTCTCTTTGCCATTTTTGGAACCTTTGCAAATTGATTTATAACTCAAATTTGTATTCAACGTGTAGATAAAAGAGTGTACTTTAATTTAATAGAAGTTTTATTAAAATCTATTCATTTTTAGTATAAAAAATATTTGCAGAAACTTTTTAAAGAAATGGCAAAGTAGGAAATATTTACAGCATTGCATTCTCTGACATTTTCTAAACTTTTGCGAATTGATTTATAACTCAAATAGGTATTCTACGCGTAAACAAAAGAGTGTACTTTAATTTAATATAAAAATCATTAAAATCCATGTGCTAAAAGTATAAAAAATATTTACCGAAACTTTTCTAAAAAATTGCAAAGATGCACAATTTACAGCATTGCATTCTCTGACATTTTCTGAACCTTTTTAGCTAAATTTATAACTCGATATGGTATTCTACGCGTGGACAATAGAGTGTACTTTAATTTAATATAAGTTTCATTAAAATCTATTCACTTTTAGTATAAAAAATATGTACCAAAACTTTTCAAAGAAATAGCAAAGTTGTACATTTTAGAGCATTGCATTCTCTGCCATTTTCTGAACTTTACATCCTGCATTTATAACTTGATATGGTGTTCTACGCGTAGACAAAAGAGTGTACTTTAATTTAATATAAGTTTCATTAAAATCTATTCACTTTTAGTATAAAAAATATTTACCAAAACTTTTCAAAGAAATAGCAAAGTTGTACATTTTATAGTATTGCAATCTCTGATATTTCTTTGAAAATGTTTTTTACCTGTATGGGTTGTTGTGGGGAGGAGTTGTTGCGTATGGCTGTGTTGTGTCTGTGCCCGAGAATGTATTCTTTTCAATGTTGTTTAAATAGTAATTTGATATTCTATAAGATATCAAAGTATTATGTTCGATGCCTAGGAAAAACTCTTCAAAAAGTCTTATTTCCGACTTCGTCTGAAGTCTCTTAACTTTCATAGTAATGCCAAGGAATTACTAGTAATGCCTGATTTCTGGCTTTGACGGTAACATATATATATTATTATGATGTCTCAAAGAAATCAAATACCGTGTGGATATTATTATATATCTACAATTGCAATGGTATTTTGAAATAGATTATACGTGTCGGCACATATATCTACTTGTAGTTTTCGTTAGGCTTTAGGTGTAGGTGTGTAGGACCTAGGTGTAGGTATATATATAGCCATTACTTTTTTTTTTAATATATATATATATATATATCTATATACATATATATACCCTGCCCTTTTACTTGGAACGTGTTTATCATTTTCCACGCATTTTACTATAATTGTTCGGGCAGTGGCGCTGATAGGGGTACAGCACTAATAATCGTGTCTCTATGAGTAGCCGCGTTGCCCAGTAGCTGAGCCAAAACTTTCTTCTGTTTTTTATATGTAAATGTATGACTCTCCTCGCCCTCGACACTTGAGAGAAAACAAAAAAAAAAAGTCGAAGAGAAGGACAGGACGACGGGAAATGAATAATTATGTTTATTAAGAGAAAAAAAAAAAAAAAAAAAGAAACCAAAGAATAATATAAGTTACAAGTAAAAAATCATACGGAGAATAAATAATATGTTTAATGTAGAACGTACGATTGAAAAACGTTTAGATGCACAGGAATAATAATAAAACAAATATGAAATATAGTTTATATATTTATATGTAATAAAAAAGAAAATAATAATAATAAAAAAAAAATATATATATAACGCGTACCTTTGCACGCGACTCGACGGAAATGCCACTCGGTATATTTCCTCTTTTTTTCTCTCTTTTTTTTCTCGCTCTCGATTTTTTTTTTTCTATCTCTCTATATATTTTTGTTCTTTTTTTTACTTTTTTTTTTTTTCATTGGGGGTATCTTCTTTATCGTCGTTACTATTTCGCAAGAAGGAAAAAGTAGAAAAATAAATGAATAAACGGCCAATGATAAAAAATAAGTTACGCGAATGGGGGAAAAATAAAATCAAAGGGAAGCGAGTGGGCGAATTCGTATGAGAAAGGAAATAAAAAGTACAGACAAAAAAAAAATAATAAAAAGGAACGTATAGAAAAAAAAAAAAAAACAGACGACCAAAGCAAAAATAGACGAAAAAAGAAAAGTAAAAAAAAAACGAGAAGCGGAAAAAAAAGGAAAAGAAAATATATAAAAGAGAATAAAGACAAACACGAACACACACAAAAAATTACAGTCAACCCTGTTACACAAGTGTATTGATGCGAGTGTTGTATTCTGTTCTATCACGCGATGTAGGCCATATTCGCCAGTTGTATCCCCGAGATAATTGACCTGATCGGGACGCGAAACAAGTATGGCGGCACTTTGAAGAACGAGCGAGGTCGCAGGTGAGAGACACTACCAGCCAATTAGCTTTCCCGAGTTGAACCACTTAAATATCCACTCTTTTCACGAGCCACCATAACCTGATCCAACCTTTCCTCAAACACGAGACAGTATGTATAATACTTTTAAACAATAACTAAAGGAACAATGTCTGCTTCTCTATTTTCCGATGGATTTCATTCCATCTTTATAACAATTACATTTTATACAATTTATACATACATACATACATCTACACGTACGTACACGCGTTTTCAAACTCTTCATACCTCATTTCCTTACTAAAATATTTTTTTTTTCTAATGATCTATTTGTTTATAAAAGTTTTTGATTCGTAATGTTAATTCCTTACAAATGTCATTTTGCTTTAACATCGTCATCGTCATCATCATCGTTTAGATTGAATATTCTGATTTCCTCCTCGTATTACCGGCACCATCCACTTACCGAGTCTGACTAAATCTTTCATGACAGCCTTCACTTACTCATCGATCTAACCGTCTGTCGTGTACTCGGTTTCTTCCTTGACTACTTATTTACTAACCCACCTGTTCGCTCGTTTATTTTACTTTATCATGAAAACGATGTACGCAGTGTATTATTACATACATATATAAAAAAAAAAAAACAGATACAACCACACGTTTCTCTCCACAGCGACATTTTCGAAAGAACAAAAAAAAAAGATTACGTATTTCTTTATACGAGAAAAAAATTAAAAAGAAACATAAACACAGAACAGAAAACAAACAATCATTATCCTTTATTTAACCAGAAACGATCCTCTTATCAAACTACCAAGAAAAATTCCATCACTCAATCCATTTCTTCTTCTTCTTCTTCTACTTCTTCTTCTTCTACTACTTCTTCTTCTTATTATTATTATTATTATTATTATTATTTTATCTTTACTTTATCACTATATGTGCGCTTAGAAACTATAACGTTAGCATATCACACTAAATCACAGAGTTCCACTTACTTTATCCTACATATTATATCTGCAGGAGACGAGTATCTCTCTCTTTGCAGAATTCATAAAAGGGTTCCTATGCTAATCAATGGACATCGTCGTTTGTGAACTCTAATGAACACTCCTACATTTCCTTTCTATCCATTTATCAACTTGTATAACTACCAGTGTCAGTCTGATTGCCAGTGCAGATACATATATATATATATATATACACACACATACCTAATCACATCTAGTAAAACGATGTTAGCTTGTTTGTGCACACTAATCGCACTTGGAACAAATACAGCTTTCTCCGGATTTGTTATCTCTTATAAATATTTCTCTCATTATCTCTATCTTTTTCTTTCTTTTTATCGATTTATATTTGTGAAAAAAAAAGAATTATCTTTTCCTTTATTAAAAAAAAAAGAAAAAAAAAACAATATAAAAATTGTAGTTTTTGCTAAAACAATTGACCATCTATCTTTTCTTTTTTTAATGCAATTATCACAATAACAAAAAAATATAAGTAAAAAAACCTTACTCTCATACGATAACAACGAAATAGACTGCATTTATAATTCGAAGAAAAAAAAATGAAAAAAGAAAGAGAAATGAAGAGAAAATGCTGGTGGCTCTGATTTTGTTTTTTTGTTGTTTTTTTTTTTTTTTCTAAAGAAAAAATCTCGTTTGTTCCTTTTATTTCTTTCCCTTTTTTTCACCCTTGTATTAGGACATTAGAAGCGTACAAACGATACGGTAAGCTTTAGTTGTGTTGTGTCATCGCAGCCGGAGCTGGGGCTGTATTTTTTCCCGAGTGTATCGAACCAAATGCCGCATGTATATGTCTAACATCCCTTTACCCGAACCCTCCGTTGTATTTTAAAATTGAGATTGAGGTCGCGTACGCACGTTTACAAGCTATACGTGTACGCTGCGTACGGTAGTAACCCTTAACGGTACGTTCTCGACAAAATTTTATTTTTCTAATTTTTTTTTAATTTTATTTCTACCTACCTCTTTTTTCCTCTCTCTCTCTCTCTCTCTCTCTTTCTTTCTTTGTCTCTCTCAATCTTACATCATCCCTGAAAGAGAAACGCGAATTTAACGAGAACGTGTTCGAACAAAAACTCTAAAAAGAACCGAATAATAATAACAATAACAATACAAAAAAATATATATAAATATTTTGAAAAGAAAATGACGTTTGTCGCGATTTCTATTTACTTTTTATTTCTTTTAACTTTTTTTTCTCTTTTATAAAAATTACAGTAACTAAAGTACAAAAACTGTAACATATTATTTCTTCGTGATTTTGGATAAAAGTTAACAATGGCTCTTTGTTAACAACCAACACCGTACGCTCGTTCCCGTTTGTATACGTGCGCATATCTTATTAAATATGTATATGCATACACGAGAGAGAGATATAATGTTTTTCTTGTATTTATTATATTAATTCATTCGGTGTGTCAAGATTATTTGGTGTTATTAGGAAGCATTTAGTTTTAACGATTACTAATACCGATGATTTCTTCCTTTTGTTATCTTTGTCTCTCTTTATCTTTCTCTCTTTCTCTATCTTTCTCTCTCTCTCTCTCTCTTTCTTTCTTTCTCTCTCTCCCTCTCTTTCTAATTTTCTCTTTCCTTTACCCTCTATCACAAAACCCGCTACGTCACCATCACCCACCCCGTTCCGAACAACGTTTTTATTAACCACCGTCAATTAAAACGTGCGAAGGAAGAGATGAAAAAACCCGAACAATTTGTTATTATAGATTCGATAATATCTGTGTGTGTGAGAGTGCGTGGCTGTGTGCGTTTGTACGTTCATACACCATCATAATAATATTATCTCTGTATTCTTGTTGTTGCTCTTGTTGTTGTCATTGTTGTTTACATATATTTATATTATACGTACATAGACAACATATTATGTATATATAAATATAGCGTAAGTGACGAATTTATCAGTCAGAGGCCGTTTGCTAAATTAATTCATCAAGAACAACGCGAGCTTACCAAATACATTATACATTGTAAATATATTATATATTATATATATTATATATATTGTATATATTATATATATATACGCTAGCCAAAATGGGAAGAAGAATTTTCGCTGATTCTTAATTTTTTCTTTTTTTTTTTAATCTTTTTCTTTTTCTTTTTCTTTTTTTTTTTCTTTCTTTCTTTTCCTTTAACACAACGCGTACACATTTTTCGTTTCGTGGTGAACTCGTAAAAAAAAAATGTGGCTGTGATTTATCGTTAAAAGAGTGAAATAAAATAGAGAAAACGGAGAACAACGGAATACGCGTCAACGGAAATATATTACATATGTATGTCTTTTTTTTATGATTTCTTTTTATTTTTAATCTTTTTCGTAACACCTATTGTGCGTTGTATATTACAAAAGTATAGATAAAAGGTAGAAAAGTCAACTAAAATCATACATATTTGACGAGTCTTTCTCTCTCTCTCTTTCTTTCTCTCTCTCTTTCTTTCTTTCTTCCTCGGTTAGTTAGAAAATAGAAAAAAGGAAGAAGGAAAAATAAGTTAAAAAAAAAAAAATAAAAAATAGAGAGAAAGAGACGCCTTAAGTCGTCAACGTCAACATCGTCACTTTACTTTTATCGTCGTCGTTGTCATAATTCTCGTCGTTGTTTCTGCAAAATCTTTTTCCTTCGTCAATGATATTTTTTATCAATCCTATATCGAACGTCGATTTCGTTTTTGATTTGTTCTCATCGAAAAAGAACGTTGTTTTTCGATAATATATATATATATATATTTTTTCTCCCTTTTTTTTCGGTACGACGAACCTATAAATTTTAAAAGGGAAAGAAAAAGAAAAAGATATTGTAAATAAAAAAATATTACTTACAAAAATACAACTCGCGAACACAATTAATTACTTCACACTGTCAATTAATTTCGATGGATAAAGAAATTATTTTTGCGCATCGGTGACATACTTTTTTATCCCTAACTACCACCACTACCATCACCACCACCACCACTACCACTACAAAATATCACATTGACCACTACTTCACCAATACACTTCCACCATTAGTACGAAATTGTCGGTATCGTTCTCGCGAATATTCTTATTATTATTATTATTATTATTATTATTATTATTATTATTATTTAAATTATTATCGCAATGCAGGGCGAGAAGAAGGAAAAACTAACAAACCGAATTTCAGAAAAGCGTGACATTAGAGCACGTGAGAGAGAGAAAGAGTAATAGCTATAATTTATTCTCTCTCTTTCTCTCTCTCTCTCTCTTTCTCTCTCTCTCTCTCTCTCTCTCTCTCTTTCTTTCTTTCTCTCGCACGAACTAGTGTAATATGTCACATATATTATTAAACACGCATACACACGTCTTAACATACTTATACATAGAATTTTTATTTTTATTCTATCTCTCTCTCTTTTTCTCTCTCACTCTTTCCCTCTCTCTCTCTCTATTTCTTTTTCTTTTTCTCAATTTTCTAAATAATGTTAATGAACTTTTTATCATTTAATGTGTAATGAATAAACGGAGAAAAAGAGAGAGAGAGAAATATAAACTTTGTTCTCACAATATATGATTTATATATACTTACATAAGTAAGTATAGTATGTATTTGTTGTAAATGTAAAATCTGTAAGAAAAAGCACTGACGTCTAAATACACAAACTAATACTTACACACAGCGAAACGTCGGCCTCCTATTGTAGAATAGATTTAATAATGGCAGTAGGGCTTATATCGATCACCGCCCAGACTCACTATGAATTCAATAGGATTGATTTATATTATATTTACTTACGTATATATTATTTTATATATATCTGTATATATATGTAATTGTACATAGATCATCATCTCACTTTCTCATTAACTCTCGTTCATCGAAATATTCGATTATTCGATTGTTATATAAATCAAATAATTAAATTCATAATGAGTCGTTTCGTTAATTCTTAGGTAATTATAATTATATTCGAACGGTAGAGTAATTTGTTAACCACTAATTAAGCATGCTAAATAAATATTGTCTCTTACGATCATGGGATCTTTTTTTGAAACTTTAATTTTTTTTTTTCTTTTTTAGATATCGTAATTAATTCATGACAAGGATGTGTAAATTTTGTATATAAAACGTAACGAGCCCCTTTAATTGCACTAATATTAATAAGCAGCACTAAACCTCCTTTTCTTCTTTTTTTCTTTCTTTCTCTTTCTCTCTCTCTTTCTTTCTCTTTATACTTTGTATATCTTTTTCGTAATATTGAATCCATCGAGAGTGTAAAAAGGAAAGGAAAGAAAAAAGATACACGTCAGCATCTTTAATGATAATATGCACACACGTGGCACGCAAGAGATTAATTTAAGTAATTATTATTATTATTATTATTAATTATCCGAATAGCGGCCGAATCTTGTGCTTGAGAATTTATATATATATATATATTATATACATATTAATACCACCATTATCACAACCACCAGCATCACTACCTGTACTAATATTATTACTATTGTTATTATTATTGCTATTATTGCCGCTACTACTCACTTGTTATTTTACTGCAAGAAAACAATTTTATTAATATATTCATATATATATATATATAAAAGTATAAGCCTGTATTATTTATTATTATTATTATTGTACAGTAAGTCCTTTGTCCGAATTTCTTGCTACTTTTTCTCTCCTATTGTAATGTATATTGAACATACATATATATATATATATATATATATATATATATACCTAGCACAGATATCTTACCATATAGGTGTGTGTTTAGTTGCCCAATCACGTTAGTCGGCTAAAAAGACATAAGCCGAGTCCCTATCGCAAATTATCGGTAAGTTTAGAGCATTGTTTGTAATTTTGTGGGTGTGTGTGTGTATATGGGTATACGTTATGTTTATCCTTACATGCATATATGTATACGCATAAATACATACATGTACATGTATGTGTGCGTATGTAAAACAAAATATAACAAGCAAGAAAAAAAAACCCGATAAGAATATTTTACCAACAATCTTTCTGCTGTTGCTGATGATGCTGCTGCAAATATTCTCCTCCATATTGGCAAAGAGAAAGTAAGCATAGAAAGAAGAATACGCGTAGATACGAACCGTCTCATACGCGCATCAACGATTAATTTTTTATATTTTGTCGATGATGATAGCACTAGATATTTTTTTTTTATTTAATTTTTTTATTTTCTTATATGTATGCGTATGTGTATACTTATTTTTTCTTTTTCTTTTAACATTAAGAAGCTACAAATCTCTCGCGCTAATTATTTTTCCTTTCTTCACCGATCTCATCATCGTCCAAAATGGCCGTTCGGAATGAACGATAAGTAATATAGAAAGAAAAAAGTGACGTATCGGTGATCTTCGGTGGATTTATACCTCTTTCTTTTTTTTTTGTAATTCTTCATTATTCTACGTATAAATCTACATATAAATTTACATACAGAAAATATTTTTTTCCCCCCGTTTCTTTTTTATCAACTTAAGAAACGAAATTACGCGCTACGAAAACGCGTTCTACTCAACATGGCGGCAGGCTAAAATGGTATACGGGTTCTATAAAAAAAAAAAGAAAAGAAAATTAAAATAGCCTATGATAGACACAGAGTGTGTAACGTCTAGAAACTGATATTTTGCTTGAAACAATATTTTATAAAAAAATACGAGAAATAAAAATGATTGTGAAAAAAAGGAAAGAATAATATTTATTTAAAACAAAACAAAATAATAATAAAACAAAATAAACGAAAAAAAAATAAGTAAACGACAAAACGAACGGAAAAAAAAAAATGGAAAAAGAAACAAAAGTAACCGACTTCACTTTTTTTTTCTCTTCTCTCTTCCTGTCGTCTCGTGCACAACGTTTAATTTTGTCCACGTAATAATAAATTTGCATGAGTCTCTATCTCTCTCTTTATCTATATTTATTTGTCTCTCCCTCTCACATTATCTCTTTATCTCTCTCTTTCTCTCTCTCTCTCTCTCTCTATCTCTCTCTCTCTCTCTTCTGTACTTACTTTTCTTTCTCTCTCACTCTCTTTCAACTATTATCTTTTCTCTCTCTCTCTCTCTTTCTCTCTCTATCTAACGTTCTCTTCCTCTCTCTGTCTATATCTATCTCTTTATCTTGATCTTTCTCGGAGTAAGACACGTTCCGAGTAGACAGCATAAAAAGAATAAGATGAAGATGTTAAAGGTAACGGAGAGAGGACGGAAGAAGAGAGCGAAAGAATTGTCGCGCGAACGTGCTAGTTGATTGATCTCTATTTTTATATGTATACGTATACATACACACGCATACATGTATGCAAACATAATATATATATATTATGTATGTATGTAAATATATTAAAAACGACGTATGTATGATGTGTATAATGTATGTATACATATATATGTACATTGTTTTAGAGCGTGCACACAGTAGTTGCTTGAAAAGACTTTGATCCTTGAATAAATCCGCTTACCCTGTCATCCCTTGCGACAGACCTCTAATATATTTTTTGTGTTGACAGACATATTGTCGTGTGTGGTCATATCACCTACGAATCGGTCTCGCACTTTCTCAAGGACTTCTTACACGAGGATCGCGAGGACGTCGATGTAGAAGTTGTCTTCTTGCATAGGTATGAACATCGGTAACAATAAAAAGGAGAAAGAAAGAAAAGAAATGAAAAGATATAGAGGAAAGAGTAAGGACCGAGTTGATACCACCCTATTCGATCATCGTCTTTTATTTTTTAATCATAAATCTTCTTTTCTTTTATCCATTTATCGATCTATATATTATATATATAGTATTTTTTTTTCCTCATATATATATATATATAATTATTTTTTTTCTTTTTCTTATTATTTTCATCATTTACTTTACTATCGTTCCTACCCCTCTTCTATCGCACGAGAATCAGTGGAAGTCCTTTATTCTTTATATTTACTTTTTTGTTTTCTTCAATATTATAAAATATAAGCTACAAGTATGCATAAAGATGGCGTCATTAACACAAAATATGTTTTAAGTAAGTCTACTACTGTCATATCACAATCACAAAGCAGTCTTACACATTTCACCCCCTTCAATGTTATCTCATTATATATATATATATATATTATATATTTCCTTGTTGGAATACGATCATATTTTATATAATCGTTCCATTACGTCATAACCATATGCGATATGGCGACATGGTGGTGAGTATACGTCGCCATACGTTTCAAAATATTCTCTCTCTCTCTCTATCTCTATCTCTCTCTCTCTTTCTATCTATCCCTCTTTCTCTCTCTCTCTCACTCTTTTTCTCTCTCTTTCTCTCTGTATCCCTCTCTCTATCCCTCTCTATCTTTTTCTTTCCCATCCATTCGATAGACACTATTTTTCTATGACACGATGAAAGGGCGATCAGACGGAAGGATCACATAACTCGTTTAATTTCGCAACGATGAAATCCAACTGGAGAAATATGAACGAAGAAGAAAATGACAGATAATAATATAAAAGAAAATTAAAGAGAAAATATACATGGAATATATAAAGGAAACACAAGATACGTCCTTTCAAATTTTCCCGCGTGAGTTGTTGTCTAAATGAATTCGATTGATCGATCGATCAAACGAACGACTGAACGAACAAACGAACGAACAAACAAACAAACAAACGACTTTTACGTTGCTAATTCACTCAGAACAGTGTTTCTGAAAATGGGTAAAGAAGTCTGATCGCCGTTGTCGTAAGGAGTGATCTGTTTTTTCAGGAAAGAACCAGATCTCGAATTGGAGGGTCTCCTCAAGAGGCATTACACCACTGTGGAGTTTTTTCAGGGCACGATGATGAATGCCGTGGATCTGGAACGCGTCAAGGTATCCTGAACCCTAGAACAATTACCACACGACCAAATAAAACAAAAAAAAAAAATATATACAACAACCAACAAATGAACTTCCATCAATCTAGCGATACGTATTATATCTCGAAACGAAAGCCCTTCACGCGAGTTTTTTCTTCTTCTTATTCTTCTTCTTCTTATTCTTTCCTTGCAGCTCTTTAGGTTATTTTAAACTCGGCTGGATAATGAGAAAAATACGCGTCGTTTAAAAATATATTCACGTTTATCGTGATCCACGGAAACATCGATAGAAAATATATCATCTTCGTTTGCCTATCTCTATCTCTTTCTCTCTTTCTCTTTCTATCATTGTCATTATCATTATTATCGTTATCGTTACTAATCTTTCATCATAACTGTTATTATTATTATTATTATTATTTCTTTTTTTTAAATTACTGTAATCAATATATTTTTCTTTTTATTATTAATTATTGAGAATTATTTCGTTTGTTTATTTGAAATGATTTAATATTATCGACTATACACTAAACGCGCGCGAGCGTACACACATCATATACGCACGCACGCAATATATTATGTAGAATGCAATCGCCTGCGACTGCATGGTATGCTGTATTGAGCTATTGAGCCGAATCAGCGTGCAGTAGAGACTTACTTAGATCTATTTAGCATACATCTCGATCTATCGTCGATAATCAAAATTATATATATATATATAGATATATATAGAATATCCTTGACCTGATATTAAATAATCTAATTAACAAAAATGATTTTTAATTATTATTTTAATAAAAATTTAATTATTTTATCAATCTTAAATCGCGACAGTGATCGAGCGTGGATGTTAATTTGTATTTACTTTAATATCGCTTTAATTATAAAATACTATTATTATATTATTTATTTCATTGATTTAAACACATACACATATACGTTTCCATATCGCTATATGTGTGTGTGTGTATGTAGATTATATTTATTATGTATCTATTTATTTATTATATATATATTTATATATAATATATATAAATATAAAAATAATAAACCAAAGTAAAAAAAAAAAGCATATACACAAGTCGGAGATACTTCGGCGAGCTAGGTGCACGTCGAGTGGTTTGACGATATATTCTCATACTCGCTGTGAGAGAAAAAGGATGTATCGCTGAAAATCCAAGGTGAACGTACATTTCTAAAAGAAATATCTATCATTTTGTCTCGGACTCGTGCAACCATTTAGGAAGCCACCAGATCTCGAGCTGGAGGGACTGTTCAAGCGACACTTCACCACCGTGGAGTTCTTTCAGGGGACCATCATGAACCCCATTGACCTACTACGGGTCAAGGTGAGTCTTCGAGGTCACGATTAAGACGTCGATGATACTTGCGTAAAATAATACTTATATTAATTATCGTTACCTCTATCTCTTTATCTTTTTCTTACTATTACCCTACCAAACTGATGAAATTTCCTGATGAAATTACGCGTTCTCTTTTGTCGAACATTAACGACGATTATTATCTATTTCTGTATTTCTACTCGCGCGATATTACAATTTTATCCACGAAATTCCATGAAAATCCTTTCTTTGTCTCTTCGAATATTCGAAACCAACGATTATAGTTTATAGGATGATTATTGTTTGTGTATTGAGTCCCAAAATTTCCAATTACGTTGCTATTAACATTAACCGTGTCCGCGAAATATTTTTCCTACCTAGTTTTATTCCTATTCTATTTTCTCTCACTTTTTCTGCCTATCTGTCTGTCTTATCGCGCCTGATAAGCTTTCATGCGTGCTTTCATATGTTCTTTGTGTGTGCGTGATAGACAACGCAAAGCATCCAGACAGTACAATATTTCTATCATCCTGTATTTTCGAGAGTACATTAAAAAAAGAGTAACAGTATTCATAAAAAAAAAAGGAAGGACCTTTATCCTTATTTTATTACAAATGATCCCTCGTTTATAAAAATAAAACAAGTAACATCCTTGTAAATTTGTCTCCTTATACATATGTATTAATACGTATACTTTTATACACGTATATAATATACATAAGTATATAAATATATGCATCTAAAGATGCATATTTATTTAATTCCTTCATTAAATGTTCCTCGAAACTTTCACGAAAGAAAGGACGTAAATGTAACCTTCTTATAAAGGTTATGTGTTTCACCCACCGGATAAACCCATACCTGCTATCATCCCGAGTGGGGTAAGTGTTGGGAGATTATTTGGTAGATGCGAAATGGCCACATCGTATTCTCTCCTCTTAATTAATTATTAGAGACATTTTTTGGAACGTTAGTTTGAATCTAATATTATTTGTTTTGTATTATATTAGCAAGGAACTTTTTCATTTTTCATAGAGGTTTTACGATTACCTCTTTCTCTCTCTCTCTCTTTCTCTTTTTCTCTCTCTCTCTCTCTCTCTCTCTCTCATTATGTTACTATATTTTGAACTACATATATATATTATATATACATATATACATATATATTATATATATATATATATATATATATAGATATATACATAAATCATTTTTGCGTTGTGACGTTCTTTTGGCTGCGTTCTTATCTTATTGCGTAATTGATGCTTCGTAGTTTTCGTCGAGCTTAAACTTCGAGTCTTGATAGTTCTCGTTAGTTTGGCATGATAATTAATTCATTCATTCATTAGTTGATACGTGCAGATACACGTGCAACCTGCGACCTGCGTCACCCTACAATCCCTCTCCTGTCTTTCCAAAAATTTCGTCTTGGCAAATCTCATTCGATCGATCATCTTTTTATCCATCTTTCTTCTCTCTCTCTTTCTCTCTCTCTTTTTCTTTCTTTATCTAGACAAATACATTTACATATGACTCAAGAAGCGTTTAGTTCGTTTCTCTCTCTTTCTCTCTATCTCTTTACTTTATTTTTATTTCATATTTTTCTTCTTTATACGATTTTTCATAACTCTCATTTT